GTTACCACCATGGTAGGCCTCTATCCTACCATCGAAAGTTGATAGGGCAGAAATTTGAATGGAACATCGCCGGCTCAAAGGCCATGCGATTYGACAAGTCACCATGATTCGCCGCAACAACGGGCAAGCCCGGATCGGCCTTTTATCCAATAAATACATCCCTTCCAGAAGTCGGGATATGCTGCACGTATTAGCTCTAGAATTACCACGGTTATCCGAGTGGTGAGGAAACCAACAAATAAATGATAACTGATTTAATGAGTCATTCGCACTTTCTTTTTTTTTATATATAAACCGAGGATTGTTATAGAGGTCAGATACCCGGCCTGACAGTACCACCTTTCAATCGCCATCCATTCTGATTGCCCAGACGGCAGGATCCTACCCATCCGTAGAGTACCATTTTTCCCTACTTTAGTACCCATCGCGAGCCGACCCTACGGGCACACAACCTTGTTACAGGTTAGTATGCATGCATGATTTTTCCTAGCGAGACACCTTATACTAGACTGCCCCCCCAGGTTCATTTCTCTCATAGGTAACCCCGAACTAGTCGGGGCCGACTAGTCCGCAGACAAGCTGCTTCCCAACTGATAGACTCTATGGAGATTCCCCCCGTTCTACCAGATGCGATGTTTCCCTCCCACCACCCTAATATGCATGGTACCCTCCCCATATCCTGTACCTCCATCCAGGGTTCCGTCCTGGAGGCTACTTACGGGCTTTCTGTCGCGTGTCTGTGCTGTCCTGAGGTCTCGTAAGAATACACCGTGAAGCCCGCCCCAGGGAATCGTAAGTACCAGGCATCCTCACTATATAGCTCTCCTAACTCACACTCTAGCCCCATTGGTTATCCATAGGTAGGCCCCGGGGCCAAGCCTACTCAGATTGTGTGCAGAACCTTGATAGATCTACCATGTTTCCCTACCCTCAGGTTGAGAACACCTATGGACCGTACATCTAGCAGACGGGAAATGTCCTTAGGGTACCCAGACTCTACTAGAGGTACTTCACCGGCTATCAGTTTCAGGCGAAGGCAGGGGACACGGTGACCTGTCAGGGTTCTGCACTAGGTATCACAATCCCAATAGTCCAACCATACTAACACTAGGTATCACAATCCCAATAGTCCAACCATACTAACAGACTACAACGATCCCAACGATACACCGGTTCCAATGGTCCCAATGGTTCTAACACCCTCACCTCCCCCCCCCCCCCCCCCCCCCCCCCCCCCCCCCCCCCCCCCCCCCCCCC